AAAAGAAAGAAGGTAGAGTTGAAAAAAAAATATTTGAAAACATAATGGCTCAAGTTTTCCCAGTTTTAGCAAGACATAAACCTACAGATTCCAAAGATAACTATCCTCAGAGTCAGTCAGAGCCTGGGTCTAAAAACAATTTGGGCAGATTCGTGGAAAACTCAATCTCTAATCCAAACACGCTTCTGACCTCAGACCTCCTTGCCAGCCCTGTCCTTGGTGTCTGCACTTGGGCCATCTCAAAGATGCATCCGACTCAAAAGGCCGAAGTAAACTCATAAGTATGCCCTCCAGAAAGGAGTGCCATCACCTTCCACTGTTTCCTGGTTTTCATCCCTGACCCCTCTGTCTCTTCATCCCCACACCCTGTCCTGCCTGGCACCTATTCAATGTTGTCTTCTGTTAAGACTTTCAGATTTGTCCATCTCTCTGTGCCCTTCTCCACCAACCTAGCCCCCAAGCTACCATCATCTCTCAACAGCTTCCCAGCTGGTCTGTCCATGTTCACGCTTAGTTTTTCACCACTTTGCAGCCAGAGTGGTCTTTTTGCAAACAGATCTGCTCTTGTCACTCCCCTGTAAGAAACAGTCAACAGCTTCCCAGGGCTAAAGGATAAAGACCAACTCGTCTACTGGATCTTAGTTTGGCCCCTGCTGACCTCCCAAGCCTCAGCCCATAATAACCTTCCACTCAGTCCTCAAGAAGACACCACAAGGATTTGGTTCCTCAGACGGGACATACTGCCTTGATTACAGTGACTTTTCACACCCTGTTTCCTGGGCCTAAAATGCTCCCTTCTTCTCTTTGCTTAGTTAACTCATACTCTTTCTCCAAATCCCAAATAAATGATCATTCATTCAACTCAACAAATATTTACTGAACACCTACTACATGCCAAATACTGTGCTGGATGCTGGAATGCAGCACCAAATAAATCAAGCTCCTGTCTTCAAGAAGCTTACATTCTCCTGCGGGGGTGGGGAGAGAAAATAAATAAGTATAAAATGTACCAGGTGGTCGTAAGTGCCCTGAAGACAAAGAGGGTAGAGGAAATGAGAGGAGGTAAATGCTATTATATTAATATCTGTTAGGGAAGGTATCTATGAGAGGGTGACATCTTATTTTAACAGAAATCTGAAAGAAGGGAGGGAGTCATGCTGACAGCTGGGGGTAAACACTGCAAGGTAGAGGGGGCTGCCATGCAAAGGTCCTGGGGTGGGAGCAGGGGAGCCAGTATGGCCCAGGGAGAGGGAATGAGGGCAAGCGTGGAATGAGACCAGATCAGAGAGAAACAGAGTCATCATCTAAGGGCCTTGATAGGGAGAAACTGAGACAGCTCCCTGCATCACTGATTTCAGCTGTTGGAGAATGACATGATTCTCCAACATGGCTTACTTTAAAAGGATCACACTGGCTGCTCCAAGGGAAAAAACGACAGAGGTAAGGAAGGAAACTGGGAGACTATGAAAGAAGCAACTGCAGCCTTCCAGGTGTGAGACCACAGTGGGCTAGGCCAGGTGGGGGAAGTGGATGGAGTGAGATATCGCTGGAAGCCAGATGAGCCAATGCCCCGATGAAGTTCCCAGGGCACCTCCTCCTTCTATGGTGGTTATAATGGGACATTTATTTGTGCACATTTGATTAATGTCTGTCTCCCCCTACTGGGCTGAAAGCCTCAAGAAGCCAAGAAATGGGTCTGCTCACCATTGCATTTCCAGCCCATAATATATGCTCTATATAGTTTTCTTGAATGAATGAATGAGTGAGTGAGTGAATGATTGAATGAATGAACAATTACCCCCAAAAAACAAAAACACATACAATGTGCTAAGTCCACCTGGGAAGCCCAGCCCTCCCTGCTCTCTTGAGGCTCTGCAAGAAGCAGTCTGTGCCCAGAACCTCCCCTGCACAATATTAAAGGAGAGCAGGGACTGGGCGTGGTGCTCAACCCAGTAATCCCAGCACTTTGGGAGGCCGAGGAGGGCAGATCACAAGGTCAGGAGTTTGAGACCAGCCTGGCCAATATAGTGAAAACCCGTCTCTACTAAAAATACAAAAATTAGCCAGGCATGGTAGTGGGCACCTATAGTCCCAGCTGCTCGGGAGGCTGAGGCAGGAGAATCACTTGAACCTGGGAGGTGGAGGTTTCAGTGAGCCAAGATCGCACTCCACTGCACTCCAGCCTGGGCAACAGAGTGAGACTCCATGTCAAAAAAAAAAAAAAAAAAGAGAGCAGTGTGACATTTGCTACCCAGGCTCTGGTCCAGGGTCTGCCAGCCATGGCCAGAGGTATGATAATCACTAGCCATTACTAGAGCTTACTTTGTTCCAGAGGCCACTTGAGATGCTTTCTGTTATTACTTCACTTGAACCCCATGCAAATCAAAAAAGCAGGTATTATTATTATTATTGTCCAGGTGCATAATCTGTATGGCACACTCACACATTTCTGGGTCCTCCTAGGAGGGCCACCACACTCTGAAACTCCTTTCTTTCCTATTGTTTGGAGACAGAGTCACTCTGTCGTCCAGGCTGGAGTGCAGTGGTGCGACCTCTGCACTGCCATCCCCACCTTCTGGGTTCAAATGATTCTCCTGCCTCAGCTTTCCAAGTAGCTGGGATTACAGGCACCCACAACCATGCCCAGTTGATTTTTTTTTTTTTTTTTTTTAGTAGAGATGGAATTTCACCATTTTGGCCAGGTTGGTCTCAAACTCCCGACCTCAGGTGACCAGACTGCCTCAGCTTCCTGAAGTCCTAGGATTACAGGCATGAACCTCTGCAGCACCTAAAGCTTCTTTCTGAAACTAAGTTTAGATTTCCAATTCCACTGAAATCTCACCCAAATGCAGGGCAATCAGAGGGAGAAGCTTCTACACATCCCAATCTCAGGCTCTCTTTCCATCTCCTTCCCTTGGCCAAGTGGCAACCTCACGAAGGTAGCCACAAGGCACCCAGAGTCCAGCTGCAGAGTCCACTGGCTCTGTGGGAGCCCTGGAGATAAAGGACACCACTGTCCCTTCTCAGATGCCCCAGGCCAAATGGACCCAGCAGAGCCTGGCCCAGCAGCTCAAACTGCTGTCTGTGGGGAAACTGGCTGAAAGAGTTCCGGGGCAGGCTCTATGTCTTATCTGTCCTGCAAATCCAGAGCTGTGCGTGCCAGGAGCCAAAGCCTCATTTCTGAGCCTGGTTTGTGTCCTGGCTTAGCCCAGATCCTGAAAGTCAGGAGATGAAGCAATGGCCATCATTCTTCTTGACTCAACTGCGTGTTTGAGACGCCAGGACTTACAGTGGCAGGCGAGGCAGTATGCAGTCACCCAGTGCACAGGAGCTGCACCCTGAGGCTGGTGTGTCTGAGTAGAGCTAACGCAGAGCTGCAGGCCCTTCAGATCCCACAGGGAAGGAGGGGAAGGGGAAGGGAAAGGCAGAAGAGGGTCGCAGTTGAAGAGGGCTCCCACAGCCTCACCTGAAGCCAAAATCTGGCATCCAGTGGGTGATAGCGCCTGGCATGTTGCATTTTTCAGGGATGGAAAATTCTACTTTTGTCCCCTCCAACCAGTTGGAATTATGCCTGGAAAAGTGAGTTGAGAAGGGTGGGAGCTGAGCCTGGGCTCCCTTGGCTATCACAGCCAATGAGGAGTGCTAAATGAAGAGTGATGGCTGATGACAGAGGGAAGCAAGGGTGGGTGTGCGTGCACCAGGCTTTCACTGCTTCAGTTCTGAGCTGCTCCAAAGCTCGTATCGATAGAGACAGAATAACTTCATCCACAGGACTCTGCCTGCTGAGAATCAGAAACATGTTCCGTCTTCCTGGCCAGCCATGCCAAGACCCCCTCAGCTAAACCTGGCAGGGTTCTAGGTCCCTAAGGGGCATGGAACTTCCACTGACTGTCCTATTTGTGATGTTAGCCTCTGGGAACAGTGGGCTCCCATCTGACCCAGCAGCAGCCAAAAAATGTCACCACACTTGATCCAAGAATCCACCCTGGGACCACCAGGCAACCAAGCCACCAGGCTGAGGTTGCAGGCAGCCCCCAGCCCTGTCTCCTCACCCCTCCAGCACCCCTTCCTCTGCCTTTCCTGCCATCTGCCATTTACCAAAATAAAAACCCAAATTTTAAGGACAAATCCTAGAAAATGAGTGAATACAGAACCCTGGAAAAGAGGAAAGTAGCATTAGTTTTATCCTTTAGGCTCAGAGCACTGGTGAGTTTAAAGAGGGAAAAATCAGGAAGGAAACAGGCCAGACACAGTGGCTCAGGCCTGCAATCCCAACACTTTGGGAGGCCGAGGAGGGCAGAACATGAGGTCAAGAGATTGAGACCATCCTGGCTAACATGGTGAAACCCCGTCTCTACTAAAAATATAAAAATTAGCTGGGCATGGTGGCACGTGCCTGTAATATCAGCTACTCAGGAGGCTGAGGCAGGAGAATCGCTTGAACCCAGGAGACAGAGGTTGCAATGAGCCGAGATTGCGCCACTGCACTCCAGCCTGATGACAGAACAAAACTCTGTCTCAAAAAAAAAAAAAAAAAAAAAAAAGAAGAAGAAAAGAAAAAAGAAGGAAACCTGAGTGAAGAGAGGCAGTGAATGGGGGAAAAGCTGGGCAAGATGTTAGAAATACCAGATTCTAGCCCCAACTCACCACTCACCTGGGCCTGAGTGTTCCCATCTGCAGAAGGTGGTGCCAGTCATCACTGCTCTCAGCTGAGGTCCTGGCTGGCACAGGGTTGTCTATGGGCATTCTGGGCTGGGGGGGTGGGGAGAACCAGGGAGCCGGCCCCTAGGACCACCCTGCATCACTTAATGCAGATTCCAGATTACATTTTATTTTTAGTAGAGATGGGGTTTTGCCATGTTGGCCAGGCTAGTTTTGAACTCCTGGCCTCAAGTGAAACATGTGCCTCAGCCCCTCAAAGTGCTGGGATTATAGGCATGAGCCATGCCCAGCCTCCAGATTATATTTTCTTTCTTTCTTTCTTTTTTTATAATATTCAATCTCCATAGAGACTGTCAAAAATTGCCAATGCCAACTATATTTCAAGTCATGATGGCAGGGTACTGGGAAAAGTTTTCAATTAGCAATAATTGCACCTCGGATAAACCTCACTGGGTACAATACTGCCACTGTGCCAAGCTCCAGATTACATTTTATTTAAACAAGAAGTTCTGCAACCAAAAAGCTAGAGTGTTAAATATTTTCTATAAAGAGTACATACAACCTATAAATAAGTTATAAAGAATAATAAAATGCATATCTATGTACCCCCACCCAGCTTAAGAAAGAGAATAGCTTTAATTAATGCATTCATTTTTTGGTTTCCTGATTTAAATGTAACAGATATTGACTACACAAACGTTGCAAGATCCAGAAGAGAGAAAACAAGTATCACCACAACTTCATTATCGTGCTGCTAACATTCTGGTGACAATATTTCCCTATTTACTCTGGGTGTATATCTTTTTTCTGAAATTAAGATCCTATTATGCAAAATGTTCCCTTTTTTTTTCCATCATGGCCATCTTCCTTGGACAAGTCTTTCACCTGGCACTCTTTCACCTCTAAGATTTCAAGTTAAAAACCCCTGATTGTTTAGCGGGGGGTGGAATTCAGAATTGATTTTCCAAAAAGAAGCAGTAGCAGGAATTGATCGTTTGGGAAAATCTGTGCTGTCTGGCTTCCACCTAAAACATACACGAAATTAAGAGGTTGATAAAGTGCATCCTGCCGTGTCTGGCCCAGGGCGGTTATCTCAGGATTAATGTTGACTGATGATTGTGTCTCGTGAGGCTGAAAGCAGGAGGCATCTCTGGAGATAAGAAGGAAAATGAATGCCAGTGCTTTGGGGATTTTTTTTTTTTTTTAAATGCTTTGCAAAGCTTCTCTGCAGCTCCAAGCCAGGTACCTGTGCCTGTGGCAGATTCTCAGTTCACACCGAGTGCCTGTGCCTCATCATTGTGCCCGTTCAGTCATCATTTATCCAGAGAAAATGACACAGTTCTATAAACCTACCTAGAACACACTTAGGCAAAAGGGGACATGCATTAGAGGAAGATGAGGGTATCACCCATCATTCAAAGAAATTCCGTGGGAAAGGCAAGGATCCTGTTGGGTATCAGGGACAATTGGAACCAGCTAATCAAACAGCCCCTGGATTCTCTCTTCCTTGTCCTCTCTGGGCTCTACTCTTTCACCCTAAAGACAGCTTTCTCCAAGAAGAGGGAAAGATGACCACTGACCTCATTCATGTTTTCCATCTTAGGAGTTTAGGAGTTTTACTCCCAGAGAAAGCCTTACTGCCTTCCTTAGCCTCCACTGAAAGAAAAACGAAACACTGCCTGGGAAGAACTGAGATCGGCTTGACTTTCATCAGGTGCCCCATCCTGGGCCATTCCACTGTGGCCAGGGTCACTGAGCATAGCAGCACACTGCCCGCATCACAGCCATGCAGCTGGGGGACATGTGAGCCTGAGAGCAGTGGCTGATCCCAAGCAGGAGTTGAAATCATGAAAGTGGCTGAAATCACCCAGTGGGCATACAGAAGGAAAAGAAGAAAGCAGGGCAGAGCGCTGGGTGTAAATGTAATGTAAAGAATGGAAAGAAGACAAAGAATCCAGGAAAAAAAGAGGACATGACTAAAAAGGCAAATAGGTGGAGAATCCAGAGAGCACAGAGCCACAGGAGCCAAGAAGGCTGGGGTTTGGAGGCGGAGGAAGTGGCCAAGAAAACATGCAAAGGAGAATGGCCTGGGGTCTGGGGTCCGGCAGTAAGAGGGCACTAGTGATCTCTGCAAATGCCATTTCCGTGGAGGTAGGAGTGGAAGGCAGTTGAAGACCAGCAAATGCAACCTGAGGGTGGTTCTTGAGGAAAGGAGATAGGGAGGGTGGGAAAGTGGTGGAAGAGGAAGCAGGAGAGGTGGAGGGGACAGTCCCTTCCACCTTAAGCACATGGGTTTATAGATTAGACCTCCCTTGACACTAAACCCTTTGCATGCAATCCCCTGCTATTCGATCCAATGTCACATTAAATATGAATGTTGTACACTGTGAGAAACTATTTCTAATAATAATAGCTATTTTTTTTTTTTTAGATGGAGTTTTGCTCTTTTTTCCCAGGCTGGGGTGCTATGGTGCGATCTTGGCTCACTACAACCTCTGCCTCCTGGGTTCAAGCAATTCTCCTGCCTCAGCCTCCCTGGTAGCTGGGATAACAGGCACATGCCACCACACCTGGCTACTTTTTTATATTTTTAGTAGAAATGAGGTTTCACCATGTTAGCCAGACTGGTCTCGAACTCCTGACCTCAGATGATCCGCCAGCCTCAGCCTCCCAAAGCATTGGGGTTACAGGCATGAGTCACCGCACCCAGCCCTAATAATAGCTAATACTTCCTGTAATAAATCACACATGTCTGACTCAAGCTCACATTCTCACCCATTCTTTCTGCTCCTTCCCCACTGGTCCACTAAAGTAAAGGAGTAATTTATCCAGAAGGAGATGATAGAGCAACAGAGGCCACCTCCTCCCAGACTTACAGCCTTCCCCTGAGAAAGATGAGTGATCTCTCCTTCTGTCTGCCAATCATCTACCTCCATTCTACCAACACCCTCTCCCAACTCTCCGAAGGAAACAAAGCCCTATCTGAGTTATGTTTGCAGGTGCAACCATCAGTTTTGGACCAAACAGCAATTCTAGACAACTGCAATGTTCAGGGTGTCTACGCCATATCTGATGGCCCCCTCCCTGGAGTCTGAATCTCCTCTTCTCAGCTTCATGCTGTAGGAAACTGCACGACTGACAATGAGGTCATGAAATGCCTGGGTGTGTAAAAGGCAGACAGTGCTGGACGACGGGAAACGATTCAGGGCTGGCTTTATTTAGTGTGTCTCACAGCCACTAATTAACGGGCAGATCCTGATGCCATAGCTGATAGGTCAGCTCAAGGCAGCTAGGGCACCCATGATGTGGCCTTCTAGAAATGAGACCAAAAGCCCATTCTCATAACTCATCTTAAAAGTAGGTTCCCCTCTGGTTCAGCCACATCCACTGCCAGTGACCTCACTTCAAATCTGGCTGTGATGTGTTGGAGCTGCTGACACTGACCTGACTGTCACAAGTCCCTGTCCTCTGTCACATTCTTCCTGTTGATTGCAGTATTTTTCTCCCTGCCTATGGCCTAATTTTTAGGTCAGGAAGATGAAATAAGACCTTCCATCTGTTCCCACTTCTAAAATATTAGTTGTAAAGACATATTCTCTCTGGATTTAAAACTTCCCACATTGAGCTCTAACCTGAAGGTTACTCTTTACTTTTTTATTTCCCCTTTCCCCTCTTCCTTTCTTCTCCTTTGATTCCTCTCCATTTAAGTCAATCCCCACCCTCTCCTCCCTCTCCACATTACCCTCATCCCTCTTCCTCAGTTCTTATCCCTCTATTACCCATCTTTTCTCTTTTCCACGGTCCAAACCTCAGCAAGGCAAGAGAGGCACCTAGGGCACAAAATCTAAGGAGGCTGCCTAGGTGCAGCCGTGACCTTGAGAGTCATTGACCATCGACACCTCCGTCACCTCACCCTAGATCCAGCCCTGTTCCCTCCTTCCCCATGTCTCTTCCTTTACATCATTCAAATAAGGATTTGTCTTCCTTCTCTCCCTATTCCTTTGCTCTCTTGGCCACCTGGTAGAATGTTTTTTCCTTATACATGTAACAACCGTATTAACTAGAAATACCCATTCAGCTACTATATTGAAAGCCAACTTATGTAGGGCATGCACAAGATAGAAATCTATTTACTTTTCCTCCAACATGTGGGAGTAACCACTCCCAGGCTGATGTGGCAGCTCCACAGCCTCAGGGTTCTTCCAGCCCATGGCTCTACCGTCCAGCACCAGGCTTCCATCTCGGTGTAAGATGGCTGCTCCACAGCACCCACCACCACCCCTGCATCCCATCCAGAGGAAGGGAAGAGAGGAAGAGGAGGGTTTGCTCCAACCCCTCTCTGGCTTGACTTCTGCTCACACATCCCATTGGCCAGAACTCAGTTATGTCACCACACCTCACTGCAAAGGAAGCTGAGAAATGTTTCTTAAATTTTGTGCCCAGCCAAAACTTGTTACTAAAAAGGGGAGAGTTGGAGGATAACTAGCCATATTTTCCACGTTTTTAGTGTACTGAGAAATTGCATCTTTTCTTCCACGAACTAGTAGGGAGAGGGAAACAATAGCTAGCCCTCCCCTATTCTTTTCCTTAATAGTGCACTTTAGATGAAATGCATTTAGATGCACTTCCATAATAGGTGGAACTGTGGCGGAATAGTGACAATGATGATGATGAAGACAAAGACAAAGATGAAAGCAGCAGTTGACACCTATGTATCACTGTCTAAGTGTGGACACTATTCTAAGCCTTTTTGTTAAGCCCGCCATATTAACCCACTTTATCTTTTTTTTTTTTAAGACGGGGTTTCACCATGTTGGTCAGGTAGGTCTTGAACTCCCGACTTCAGGTGATCTGCCCACCTTGGCCTCTAAACTGCTTTGACTACATGCGTGAGCCACTATGCCCGGCCAACCCACTTTATCTTTACAACAACCTGAGATACACTTTTTTTTTTTTTTAGATAAAGTGTCATTCTTGTTGCCCAGGCTGAAATGCAATGGTGCAACCTCCACCTCCCTGGTTCAAGCGATTCTCCTGCCTCAGCCTCCCAAGTAGCTGGGATTATAGGCATGTGCCACCAGGCCTGGCTAATTTTGTATTTTTAGTAGAGAAGGGGTTTCTTCATATTGATCAGCCTGGTCTCAAACTCCCAACCTCAGGTGATCCACCTGCCTCTGCCTCCCAAAGTACTGGGATTACAGGCGTGAGCCACCACTCCCAGCCAAGATATACAATATTATTATTCCTGTTTTACAGATGAGGTAATTGACACAAAGAGAAGTTGTAGTGGCACAGCTGAAGTCACACAGCTATAAGGGATGACTCGAGTCAAGCCTAGGTCGTCTGGCTCTAGAGAGAAACATTGTAAACAATACCATTAGATGTTATTCCTGGTGGTGACACTCGAATATGTTGCCCAGTTTTAGGAAACCCCATGGCAGACAGCACCATGCCATGCTCTGGAGGTGACAGTAGGGTC